GTACTTTCAATTCTATGAAACCCAGAAATATGTTTTTAGATTAAGGTTTTGTATAATTACAGTAATGGTTAAATCCACTCAGCATTTCTTACACAAGGTTTTTCAGACATAAATAGACAAACATTTGAAGACATAGGAAATTATTTCTATACATAAAATCTGGGGGAAAATTATCTTTTTTTAATAGTTTCAGTGAAGAACATTGGATTATCTGACCCCCTTCCAATTGGGTTTCATGCCCCTTCCAGTCTGGGCATGAGACCAAACAGCATCGATTGCACTAGTAGATGATCTCCGACATAAGCAGGATGGGGGTGGTGGATCCATCCTTGCTCTCCCTGAACTCTCAATAGCTTCTGATACTATCAATCATGGTATCATTCTGGACCAACTCCAGGGGTTGGGAGTGGGCAATGCTATGTTGTGCTAGTTTTCTTCCTTCTTCCAGGGATGGTTCTATTCAGTCTTGCCCATGGCCCTTGCTTTGCAGGTGCAGCAGGACTTGACACTCTTCTAACTTCTGTTTAACATCTAAATGAAGCCACTAAGTGAGGTCATCCTCTGGCACGGGGTGAGGTATCATCAATATGTTGATGATACCCAGCTTTGCATTTCCACCCCAGGATGTGCAAGCGATGCCATGGAGGTTTGTTGTCTAAAAGCTCGGGGGGAGGGTGATGGTTGGATGTCCGTCTCTTGTTCTGCATGAGGTTTTGCACTAACCCTAATAGAACCAGTATGCAATTTGGGAGTCCTCCTCAACTCCCAGCTCCTGTTTGAGGAACTGGTAGCAGACATGAACAGGAGAGCCTTTGCATAGCTTCATGATGTGTGCCAAATGCACTCTTTCCTGGATCAGGAGGATCTTCTCACTGTCACTCACACCTTAGTCATCTCATAGATGGACTATTGCAATGCATTCTACATGCGGCTGCCCTTGCAGAAGCTGTAATTGGTGCAAACTGCAGCAGTGCTGGCAGTTACGAATGCTTCTTGATCTGCTCATTATGCTTCTGCTCTGCAAGCTGTATTAGTGTCAATATGTTTCTGGGTTCAATCCAAGGTGCTGGTGGTTACCTATAAAGATCTGCATGGCATAGGCCAAGTTATTTGAAGGACCACCTCTCTCCAACCACATCTACCCACCTCATCAGATCCAGCAGGAGAGGAGATCCCAATCATTAAAAAGAGTGCCACCTGGCAGGACCCAGGAAGAGAGCCTTTCCTGTCACTGTCCCTGCCCTGTGGAACATCACCCCTCAGATATCAGATTGGCCTTTCACAAGACCCTGAAGACATGGCTGGATCCCCAGGCTTGGGGGTCAGAGCGTCTATTGGACCCTGAGAATTTGCCTTATTGAAATATTTGTATTGTATCTATACTGATGCTTTTTTTAAAAAACCTCAGCTGCCAATTGTCTTTTTTTTGGGGGGGTTGGTTTTTGAAATTGTTAGTTCATTAGAGTCACTTGTTTGAGATGGGCACCCATATAAATTGACTGAATAAATAAATAAATTCTTGTAGTGTGAGATTTTGTTACATTTACATTGTTATTACTATACAGCAATATGACCTTCAAGCTGCAATTTATTAGCTGCCTATTGCTACATTGACCTGTTCTTGTCAGCAGAAGAGTATGTATTCAGCACCTCAGTGAATTGAATATTACTTAGAGTGGTTAAATCATAAACTTTCAAACACAAACTGCAAATTTCCTTTTGAATGAAGAACTATTGGATTGCATTGTCATGGGTTAAATTGGACTACTTGTATACTTATTTCTAAGCATGCTGTTGTACAGTTTTGCATGTACAGTGGTATAATTTCAATCTTTAAAGTTTTATACCAGTATAATCCTATAGGAACAATATTAATTGACACTAGTCACAAAATGCAGAAACTCCAAAGAAACTCTTCCTCATGCTGTTATTTTTACCGTAAAATCTTGATGGCTAAACTTTTGACTTCCTAATTTGGACCTCGTGTACAGTATTAACTTCTGAAAATCCTAAATTACTTTTGTTGGAAACTGTTTTGAAAGAGTCTATGTGCCCACTTTGTTTTTCCAGAAAGTTCAGTTTATTTTTATAAAGTTATATTAACACAGATATTGGTAATTTGCAAGAACGTTAGAATATAGGGTACAAATGACAAATCTATGGTCTTGTGTTTTATTTATTTATTAAATTTGTGTGCCACCCATCTCAAGAAGCCTTGTATGCCGCCCATCTCAAGAAGCATTTGTAACTGCCAGCACTGCTGCAGTTGCCACCCATTACAGCTTCTGCAAGGGCAGCCCCATGTAAAGCGCATTGCAATAGTCCATGTATGAGGTGACTAAGGCATGAGTGACAGTGAGAAGATCCTCCTGATCCAGGAAAGAGTTTTAAAAATTTAAAATACATTTCTTATGATCATGAGATGAATTCATCAATTTATTTGTGTTTACTGCCCACCTCAGTGGATATTTAGGGAGGCTTAGGTATCGATGTTTTTATGCTGGAGATGTAATATATTTGAAGGGACCCTGACAACAAGACTTGGGTGTGTTCTTTGGCTGTCTCATTTTAGTTTAATATTCATCCTACTGTTAAAAAATTTGGGAAATAAAAATGAGATTTCAAGATGTAAGAGTGATATTGAATTATATACCAAAAACTTATGAAGTCCTCTGTGGATTTATTGTGTGCTTGGAATATATCAAAAAAAGATAATTTTGCACAGGCAGAAAATTATCATTATGGATTTAAAATCCTATATTGAAGAAATGCGTTCACACTCAGCCATTGAATTAGCTGCACATAGACAGAATGGAAAGACTGATCAATAAGATTCTATGTGGGCAAGGTTTAACTTGTAGGTTAAAAACTGAGCTACTTTTACACATTAACTTACTTATTAATTTGCTTTGCTTATTTCTTTTTTTATACTTTATACTTTGTGTTTTGTATTTTGTTGTATGTTTTGTCTTTTTCTTTCTTTCTTGCATGTTATAGCAATAAAAATTAAAATTTTAAAAGGCTGGTGTTTGGAGCGGTACACCTCAGGACAATAACTGCAGTTACTTCCTAGAAATGGCATTCACATATACTAAAAATTAAAGTGCAAGTACCAGGTGTTGCATTCAGGAAAAGTCGAAAAGCAACAGCAAGAAATGTTAAGTTAAAGCCACCTTGCTTTTTATAGCAAATCTGAGAAACACGCTTCTTTCTGGATTCTGTGCCCCCAAAAAAGGAGGAAGGGGTTGCAAATCGATGGTACTTGATCATGTTCAGCATTCTGCCCCCCTTCCAATTTGAAGACGAGATTTCGACAGTGTACTCCAATGGCTCTGAAGCCATTTACCATTCCAATAAAAGCATTCGCCTGTTCTTACTCTAACAGTGAGCAACTCGTATTGAAGTGTTGCTGTGAGAAAGGGATCATTTCGGAGGGAAGTATTCCAGGGTTAAGGGTGGGCAATTCCAAGATTAACGTCTTAAGTGCAAAAAGCAGGAAAGTTACCTTTTGCATCGTCGCCCTCTCGTTCCCCCTCCGGCTCCATTGTTGGTTGACGCTGGTTGCCCGGCAACCAAAGATAGGCGCGCGAAGACGTCTGGGAAATTGAGTTTCAAAACTGCGCGTGCTTGTGGCGCCTGCGTAGAGTGATAGGGCGCTGGTGGTGGTTTTAGTGGGTATTTTCCTGTAGCGATTCCGTCCCCGTAAACTTTGCTTCTGTGTTAATGGCTTTTGGAAGTCATTTTGGGTAGGAAGGAGATGGAAGAAATGTGTTCTTTATATAAGGAGATTTGGAGTGGTGTGGATAAGTTATTGAAGATTAATTGATAAGGAACAAGTAGGAATCAGTTTGTAGGTTGAGGTTCTTGTTTACTTTCTAGCTTTGCTGGGCTGCAACTCGCATGGGCGCGAGGCGCCACCCCCATTCATTGAGAATTACGGAAGCGCGGAGGCTGAGTTGTTTGATTAATCCGAAAATGCCTCCGCGTTCAATGAACTTCCTCTTACGGCATGTTAAAAGAAAATGCTTGTTCATTTATTAACTCTTGCGATATACCGCCCACTACAAACGTCTCCCGGTTTTAACGGTTGCAGGAACAGGAAGAAAAGTCCCAGCCCGATCCTAAGAAAGAAACGCCTCGCTTCTTCATTTCCACCTGTCACGACGAGGGTTGCCGCCATTTTCCCGTCGACAGGCTCGTGAGCCTGCAAGAGCCGTGCGATATTCAGCAATCCAAATACAGTGATGGAAGAAACTGCTGCACCTGTTGATTTCTTCACTCAGTTAAACATGCTGGAAACGTAAAAGCGGGGCGGGAGGATCAAATAAGTCAACAACTTACTCATCTTTTCTACGGTTGCCAAAGGCGTGGCTGCTGCAACTCTGCATTGCTAATTGTGTGTTTTTAATTTTACTAGTTATGACAAGTGCAACGCTTTATGGTAGTTGAGAAAATATTAAGCGGATCTTAAGCCGTGTCATATGCGCCGCAGTAAAATCACAAACTGCCCAATTTTGTGTTAACGACAATTACCAAGTTTTCAAAAAATCAGTAACACCTTGTTTCTGGGTTGAAAACACCTAGTCTAGATAGGGTCGGGCCACAATCTTGAAAATACGTGCTCAAGTTTGTAAATTGTCACGTTAGGCACAATAAAGGGGGGGAGTATACACACACACTTGGTTTAAGCGTCGTCATTCGGAATAAATTTTCAGAGGAGCTACACCGTTTTATTGAACGCTGCATCCTTAGCCGGCTCCATCAAACTCTCAGGCCTGCTTCGTGAATACCCTTGTATAAGACGGCATTAGGTACAAAGGGAAAATAAGGGACGGCATGATCAGAACTGACATATTGATCAGTACCAGAGATAATGGTTGGATCCATACAGTTTGCCACTCGTGGCCTTAGGTGAATCCAACCAGTGCGAGTAGCTTGTGGTTTACTGGGTCGCGCCAACCGAGGCAATCGAGCTAAGTTGATAACCGCGATCCATTCATCATCGTATGTCGTGATAACACCGCCGGCATGAATTCCAGTTACAGTGAAAAGCAAGCGAGGACGGTGCTGTTGCATTCAGATCTCGCTTGCTCTTCGGCATCTGGCTAGCCGCAGCTGGAACAAACTAATGGACGGCAGCCCTCGGTCTGATCCAGCAGAGGTCTCCGCGCGCGCTTCGGTAGCGAGCGGAGGGAAGGAAAGGCGAGCGCGGCACCTTCAGGTATTCGCCGCGGAGTGCACCTGGAGGATATGGGAAAGGGCCTCAGCAACAGGTGCCGGAGAAGACTGAGAGGAGGAAGTGGGCGCTTGCTTGCGTTGGGCCGTTTCTCTCCCGGAAAAAAAGGCTCTAGGCTCTCCTCCTCGGCTGCGGAAAAAGAGAAGAAAACGCCCCGTGGAGTTAGGGCAGGGCCGGCTGAGGTTTACCTAGAGGCTCCGGGCAGTGGGAGGAGACGCCATGGCCTGGATCTGGCAGTGGCAACTCAAAGCGCTCTTTATCGGCCTCACCTCGACAGGTGAGTCAGTAAGAGGGGACAGAAGCTGGTAGCTAAAGAGAACGGAGTAACCTTGATCCTTCCTCCTCTCTTGCTTTTAGCTAGTAAACTGACCCCCTACTTGGGGGCCCCCTCACCTGGTTTTTTTCCGGCTTGGCCTTTTTTTTAAAGCAATTTCCTCATCAGACAGCCTCCAGGCTGAGCAGTGATCAACCGTATTCAGATCTTTCTCAAAATGTTTTAAATTATTTAAACTTTCCTTGTGAGAAGGGAAGTGTTTGCTGATGTGAAATCACAGTTTGGGGCTGGGAAGATGTTTGATTAGGAACTGGAGATCTGGTTAGTCTCACCTTCCTATATTTCAGTTGTAAATTTGCATATACTAGAGATTTGTATACATACATGTGGAAGTTTTGTCCAAATCAGAATTGTTAGAAATTCGTATATAGTAACTTTTCATTGGACATCTGAATGCATAACTTTGGAGAAGTATAGTTTGTCTGCAGTTTATTTTGTTGTGTGAATCCAACTAATTTGTTTATTGCTCATTGGTGAAACCTTTTTTTCATCTTAAGGACTATACAATAGCTTGCTTAAGGTAAACTCTGGGCTTCACTCAATAGTGAAATAACCAAAGTCACATACTCTCCTAATTTACATGCATCAATGTTATATTTCCTCTCTTTCACAAATTCATGCTTACATATACACTCCATCTGCAAACATAACATGCAAAAGAGCTCATATAAAACATAGGTTAAAATTTGGTTGTGGCTAGTGCGACTAGTTTATGTTTCAGGATATTGTGCCTTGCCAAATGGTAGGAAAATAAAGAATGTCAGTTCCAAAACTGATGTACTTCTTTCTTCCATTCTGAGAGGAATGTCAATAGAAGGGGAAAGCTTTGAGAAATGACTTCTTTCTGACCATTATCATCTTAGAGTACTGACAGTGGAGGACTAACAGCTACCAGTTTTTTCAGAGTTGCTACAAAAAGGTCTCTGGGGCCATTTTCTCAATAGTGTCTTACAGTGTCACTGAGCCATTGCTGTTGTGATTTAAAATCTGTTTGTTAGTGATTTATTACCATAGCAATGGTTGAATGATGTAGTAAGTTCTATAAATTGTTAAATAGAAATTAATAGTCCATGGGTGGACTTCCATTTTAGCCTAAAGAGAGTGCTGTTATATTCTGTTCTTTCAAGGATACCCTCTATGGGATTGATTTCTTAGATCAGATCTGGGGGGCTGAGGTCTTTCAGATGTTACAGAATTATAAGTTCCAACAGCTGTAGTTCCAGTAGTGAAGGATGCTGGTAGATCAACAGTGTCTGGAAGGTACACGTTTCCTATTTTGGGAGTCTCAGTTTTTCAAATCATGTTCCAGTCTGCCACGATAATATATATATTACACAGAGATCTCTTCCTAATGATTATATTTTTTAGCCCCGCCTTGAAAAACATTTTGTTTTTTCCTAATTCACTAAAGCTTCCCTGCAGGTATAATACTTAGATCAGGTGCCCTCCAAATGTATTAGACTCAGTAATGTGCAAAGATCAGGCTGTTGAGATACGCAGATGTTCCAGTTCAACAGAGGTAATGGGTGCTCCATTGGAGAAGGGTGGTGTAGTCTGTAGAGGAAGCATACTACATAATTGCAGAACTGCTTTAATATTTCTCACAAAGACTTACTTTATGCACTGTTTGGAATTCAGAGAAGCAAAACTGTTGAAATAAAATGAAATGCTCTTTCTTCATTCCACTCTGGGTAGTCAGTAGTAGTTGAGTAATTCTACCTAAGGCAGCATATGTTTATGTTACATTATCACAAGTACTATGATATCTTTCACACTAGACTATTTCTTTTATGTTATCTTGTATACCTACATGATAAGGAAATCACAGGATTACAATTAACATAGCAGGTATATCTAACATAACTGTACAGGTATTAATAATTTATTTTACTTATTTAAATAATTTGTAAGGCCACCCAACTCATAGTTTATGACTCTGGTTGGCGTGCATCAATAAAATACCAAAAACAATAATAAGCTAGGCTGGAATTTTAAAATCTTTTAAGACATTGCAAGTTTCAAGCATTCCCTTTTCAGATTATTTCTTGAAAATGTAGATATTTTTAACTATTGCTGTTATTTTCTTTCTACCTATTTGTTTTTTAATTATTGCCATGAAAGTACCTGTGCTAGATATATAGAATACACATTCCTTAAATAAATTATACGTGTAACAGCTTTTTCCTTATTAAATCATAAAATTTGGCAACAGTAAATGGGTATATGCATGTAATTTTTGGCTTGTCATGAGGTTAGAAAGTTCCAGAAAGATGGATTGTAGTATCAATCTATGCATCCATTACAAGCCATCAGTACAGATCACATAGTTACTATTGGATACATGTGCAATGTAACAAAAAATGTATAAGGGAAGATCAAGTGGTGGAATTAAAGGTGCAAGAGCTGTTCCACTGTTAAATTTGTTGTGGGCAATATTTGGAGACAAACACTTGAAGCTTCTTTTTTGCAGACCTAAAACTTTGACTTCCCTCCACTTTCTCTTCTTCCCACCTCTTTCCTAGCCTGTAACTATAATATTCAGTTAATGTCCTAGAGTACCATATGTTGTTTGTGTTTGTCGTTGCAGGTTGCTTCTCTGTTCTGGTGACTGTGCCAGATACTGAGCGATACACAACTTTATTTGCTTCTGTGACCCTCCGATGTGACTATAGTACTTCAGCACCGCTGCAGGATGTAGTTGTTACCTGGCGCTATAAATCTTTTTGCAAGGACCCCATTCTTGATTACTATACTATCGGTGAGTACTTCTGCTAAGGATCAACCAAGGATTACTATCTACAAACTAAGAAAGGCAGCATGATATAAGGAAGGCAATGGATTTTTTTTCCCTTCAGAAAATCCCCAAATAGTGGTATTGTGTTTCTTCAGTCTCTGGACTAACAATTGTAGGATTCTAGTCGAATCTAGTATATTGTGCAAATAGTTGTCTATGCTTTTGCTGACTAGTTAGCTTCTAATATCCTACATATCCTGCAACTCTTACACAGAGAACCTTGAGAAGGTATCTTTGTAATTTTATGAAGGGAACCTTCTACTGTGGAAGATATTTTCCTTCAGACCAGATTCTGTCTCCCTGAAGTGGATAGTAGGTAAAGAGAACTCCAAAGCAATTAAAAAGTGATGTATCCATAACAAGGGACCAAACAGAAACATCTCCAATAGAAGAGAATATATGTAGCTCAGGCCTGAACTGTGGAGTCCTTGGTGCTCTCAGACACCAAGCTCAGAGAGCACCAAGGGCTCCACAGAAACATTCCACAACTCCAATTTACATCACCATTGTCCCAAGGCAAAACCCAGATCCAATATGTGGCCCCCACTGTGTGTCAGGCCCTCAGTGACTTAGAACAGATCCACAGTTGCCACGGTGTCATGAACCCTTGAGCCATTCAGTACTCAGTACCCAAGGATGGCAGATTGAAGTCCCCCAGGATCATTAGCCTAGGAAACTCTGCTGCCAGCCTGGTAACCAAATCAAACAGGCCGGGCAGGGATGCCACTCCACAGCAGGAGGTTAATCCAGAAGCAGCCTAGAACCCTAGAACCCAGCCTCACAAATAGGGTCTCATGTCCAGTTATCTGTGGGGCAGAGCCTCTGAAAACTGTAAAAGTCTTTCAGATAACAATAGTGACTTCCCAAGGCTGGAACATACCATGGCTGATATACAGTGGAACCTTGGTTTACGAACTTAATTCGTTCCATGACTCTGGCCGCAACCCGAATTGGTCACACCCCGAAGCAGCTGT